GCTCCAGGCTCCAATTTCCATTTCATTAAAGACTGAAAGACAAAGTGGAGAAAATGTGTAAGCTGTCACCAATTTCTTCCCAGTCTTCCATATCTATCATATTCCTCCGAAGCCAGGTGCGGGGCAGTCTTTTTGGGACTTAGCTTGTGTTTAGAGAACCAAGAGTATGCACTCATACCACATGATGTAAATGGTAAGTATTACCAGATCACATACTTTTAAGAAGGATTCCTTTATTGCTTTGAAAAACAGAGTTACAGAGAGAGGGAGAGGGAGAGAGAGGTCTGTATACAGATTCAGTGCCCAAGTGGTCCTGATGGCCGGGTCTGGGCCAGGCTGAAGCCAGGAGCTCCATCTAAGTCTCTGACATGCTCTTTGGCTGTCTTTTCCAGGCATATTAGCAGATAGCTGGATCAAAAGTGGAGCGGGGCCTGGTGCGATAGCCTAGTGGCTAAAGTCCTTGCCTTGCATGCTTTGGGATCTCATATGGGTCCCGGTGGCCCTACTTCCCATCCAGCTCCCTGTTTGTGGCCTGGGAAGGCAGTCGAGGATGACTCAAAGCACTGGGACCCATGTGAGAGTCCTGTAGGAGGCTCCTGGCTCCTGGCTTCAGATTGACGCAGCTCTGGCCATCGTGGCCACTTTGGGAGTGAGCCAGCGGATGGAGGATCTTTCTCTCTGTTTCTCCTCTTCTCTGTGTATCTGACTTTCCAATAAAAATAAAATAAATCTTAAACAGACAAAAAAAAAAAAAAAAGTGGAGCAGCCGGGCCTGAACCCAACACCTGAATAAATTGCCAGTGTCTTAACCCACCAGGCCACAGCACCGGTCCCCAATCATCTATTTTTCTTTTAAGATTTATTTTATTTTTATTGGAAAGTCAGATATACAGAGAGGAGGAGAGACAGAGAGGAAGATCTTCTGCCCGATGATTCACTCCCTAAGTGAGCGCAACGGCTGATGCTATGCCGATCCGAAGCCAGGATCCAGGAACTTCTTTCAGGTCTCCCACATGGGTGCAGAGTCCCAAAGCTTTGGGCCATCCTCAACTGCTTTCCCAGGCCACAAGCAGGGAGCTGGAAGGGAAGTGGAGCTGCCGGGATTAGAACCGGTGACCATATGGGATCCCGGGTGTGTTCAACGCGAGGACTTTAGCCACTAGACCCCCGGGCCCCCAATCATCTATTTTGAATAATAGGCACCACTGAAGTAACCAATCATATTAAACTGAACGTGTGACTGTGGATTGGAGCCTGCGAGTGCTAAGGATGTTGGTTAGCACCTGTGACCATGGGAATGCAGCATGCTAGGCTACTGGAGGTCAGCACGGAGGTGATCAGGCCGTGTTTGGAAATTCTCTGCTTGAAAGATATGAATTCTTCCTCAGGGTGGTCACATCTGCAGAGCAGGAAGGAGCATTGTGCCATGGAAGCCACTCTGTGCTGTACGTGTGGGGTTGGGAGACCAAGGAGCAGCACCTGCATTTCCTTCCTGCTAGGGCTCTGGCCTCTGAGGTCTGCTCCTTGAGCTGGGGCCATGGGGCACGTCCCTGAGTACAAACACACTTGCTCACCGGCACCTGGACCCAGACAGGAAACTGGAGCCCGGCGCCGCCCCAAGCCCAGGGCTCCGTGTCCTGCCTGGCTCTTCCTCATCTTTCCACTTAATCCTTCCGGGCCAGCTTTCCTGGCGAGCTGACCTGCCAATGGGTAAGCCTGTCTCGAGAACCTCTGTGTGCCGAGCACTGTGCGAACCACTTCTCACAAGGTTCACTTAATCTTCAGCCCCTCAAGCCCTCCCTTCCCGTGCCACTCAATCCCAGGACCGTCCCCCCACCCCCACCTCAGGCCCCTGCTGTAGCTGCCATCCCTTTCATTTTCTGACCTAGAACTTCCATGCCATCTTGCCCTGGCACTAGACTTTAGCCCTAAAGAGGGGGAAGGGGAGCTGTGTCTCTAGCCAGCTGCTAAGAGTGCCATTCCCAGCCTGGGGAGTGTATGGTCAAATCATTTGAAGTAGCTGTCATTATCTCCATTTTACAGAAGGGCAAACTGAGGCTCAGCAGGCATATGTGATTAATGCATGTTTTAGAAACATTCAGCATCAGTTAAGGTTGAAGTTTCAATCCAGGTTACACTGCACCAAACCAAAAAGCAACTGGATCTGTTCCATCAGGAGCATGGTCTGTGTGACAGGTCTGTATTTCCCCTGGGTACAGCCTTTGCCAGCCTTTCACAGGGAGCCCAGCAGCTCCCATCGTTTGAGCTGATGGATCCCTTGGTGGGCAATGCTATCCATCGTTGAGCACCTGCTGTATACATCGTTGAGTCACGAGGGAAAGGAGGTTGGTTCTCATCCCTTGAAGAATGTAGAGGCTCTCCACAGGAAGTGACACGAATTGACCAGGTGTTCATTGGGCTTGGGGACTGTGCTGGATGCTGAGAAAAAGCTAGAGGTGGCTCCCTCATTCTTGGAAGCCCACATGGGCATGGGGGAGGTATGTCGGGTCATCCAGGAGAAGGCTACAAAGAAGGTAATGTGAGAACAGGTAGCTGTCCCCAGTAGGGGACGAGATTCAAGAGCCTGAATGAAGTCTCAGGGAAGCTGAAACTTATCAGTGAGTTAGCCAGGGGAAGGAGAGAGGAGGTGGGGAAAGGGGAGAGCTGGTGCAAAGGCCCTGAGGTCGGAAGATGAGTGTGACAGAGAAGTTCAGGCTGCAGCAGGAGCAGAGGCTGCATGGTGCTGCTTGTTGCCCTCACAGAGGCCCGTGGTGGCTGGATGGCTGTAGCCAGGCTCATTGCTGTCCTCCCCACCCCCTGCCAGGGTGCTTTCCTCCTGTCTGCCTGTGAGGACTGTCCTGTCTTAGGAAGCAGCAGGCTGGGGATGGCCCAGCACTTTGCTCTTCCCACTGCCCAGCACCCCAGAGCTCCCAGAGTTCCCAGCCTCCCCTGGGTGTCCACGCCTCTTGCCACTTGCTGCCGCTGAGTTTCCTAATATAGTCTGGCCGTTTCCTCCCCGATAGTGGCCAAGAACTAAGCGCAGTTTCTCTTGGGCTTAAAGGGACCATGTTAGCCCATCTCACATCAAACTGAGGCTGAAGGAAAGTGGTTGGATTTAGCGTCATAGCCTTGTCCCTTCCCCCATCATCATTTTCCCGTCTTTCTTGCTGTTCACTTTCCCCCTTCGCAGGCCACCCCTCTTGCTTCTGAGCAGCCAGGTGTCGGGGGGGTGGGTGGGTACAGAGCTAGGCTGGCTCATATATTAGACTCGATCTCTCGGGCAAGTCCCTTGTCCCAGCTGATGCTCCTCCAGGGAATTTTGCAGCACAGTTTTCAGACAGGATAAAGTAGCGAAGAGCTGCCGAGCTGTGAAAGAAGGCGTGCTGCCCATGTCCTCTTGTGTGCATCGTGTGCCTGCTTGGTTCTGTGTTGGGCACTGAGGGTACAGTGGAGGGCACAGGCCAGGGAGACAGTCAGCAAGAAGAGGAAAAACAAAACCTAGAGTGAGTGACAGGCTGCAAGGAGAAATAAAGCAAAGAAAGAAGATAGGGGAAGAGGAGTTCACTTTTCAGTAGTGTGGTCAGGGGAGGCGGCACGGATTGCTGAGTTAGGGCTTGAAGGTGTGAAGGAGTGATCCCCAAGGATTGCTGGGGGAAGAGTGTGGTGCACAGTAGGAACAGCCTGCGCAAAGCTGTGTGTGTGGGGTGGCAACAGCAGAGATCTTTGTGGCAAGAACTGAACCAGCAAAGGAGAGAACGGGAGCAGATAGGAGGAGCGAGGAGTGATGGGGAAGGGGCTAGGGAGGGTCTTGCGGGCCACAGAGAACTCCAGCTTTTCCTCTGCGTGAGAAGCGGCGTGGCAACATTGCCATCTGACTTAGTGCATCTGAACAGAGTCCCACGGGTGCTGTGCTGGGAACAGATCAAAGGGACAAGAGCAGAGAGATTCTTTAGGGTGACTTGCAATGCAGAAGGGCAGGAGCAAGAAGGGAACTTGCACCAGAGAAGCTGGGTGGGGGCCAGGCCATGTAGAGGCATCCGGACATGGCATATATTGCCTTGGGAGTCCCAGTGCCCCAATTCCTGGGATCCAGCATCTCAGAGATGGGGCGATCTCTGGTGTTTCCCACTCACTACTGTATACATAAGGTCTCACACTGCTTCGATCACTTGCTTAGCCCCAGATCATGGTGGCACTCAGATGGCCATGCATATCTCTTGGACACTTAGTGCTGCCCAGACATCTTCCCCTGCATTCACAGGACGGTGCAAACCCGCTCGTCTCCATTCACGACCTTCGACATTCCCACCACCTTGAACACAGGATAACTGGGGAGCACATTCAGCCTCGTGTCCTGGCAGGACCTGATTGTTCACACAACTTTGCACTTCTTGACCTGTTAATAGCCTTGCACCCTCGAGTCTCTCACACCCTTAGCTGCGTGTCACCGTTTCTTGCTCACACGGCCTTGGCTGGCCTCTGTGCACATCCTGCTTTGCACACTCCTCACATGCAGTCCTGCTGCTGCATACACTGGTTCTCTTCATGCATTTTCTTACGGGACGCGAAATCTGTGCACACGCAGAGAGCTCACCTGCTCGTGTCACTGCACATGGTAACACTGTGGCTCAATCAACCGCACCTGAGCTTACACACATGTGATCACGGCATGCTCCCACCAACAGGACTGATCACCTCATCGTGCAAATGCCTCTTGGCTTGTCTACTAGTGTTCTTGTACTCTCGTTCAACTTTCCCCATCCCCAGGGCCACACCTGCACACTCAGACTCATACACCTCACCTTTTCTTGCACACCTGTGCCCACTGATGGAAAATTCCACTTGGCTCGCCCCTCGTGGCCTTGCACACTCTTGTGACTTACTGACTGCATGACTGCATACCCAGCCCCTTCTTCCAACTCTACCCTTGCCCACCGCCCTCCCAGTGCACGAGTGGAAGTACTGGTGTCGCCCCCTGACGCCCTTCTCCTTGCCCGCAGGGACATACCAAGGCCAGTTCACCAACGGCATGCGCCACGGATACGGCGTGCGCCAGAGTGTGCCTTACGGCATGGCCGTGGTGGTGCGCTCGCCTTTGCGCACGTCGCTCTCGTCCCTGCGCAGCGAGCACAGCAATGGCACTGTGGCTCCCGACTCGCCCACATCGCCCGCTGCCGACGGCCCGGTGCTGCCCTCGCCCACCATCCCGCGAGGCGGCTTTGCGCTCAGCCTGCTGGCCAACGCCGAGGCAGCGGCACGGGCGTCCAAGAGCGGCGGCCTCTTCCCGCGCGGCGCGCTGTTGGGTAAGCTGCGGCGGGCCGAGTCCCGCGCGTCCCTGGGCAGCCAGCGCAGCCGGGTCAGCTTCCTCAAGAGCGACCTCAGCTCGGGCGCCAGCGACGCTGCCTCCACCGCCAGCCTGGGCGAGGGCGCCGAAGGCGTGGATGAAGCTGCACCCTTCGAGGCCGACATCGACGCCACCACAACGGAGACCTACATGGGCGAGTGGAAGAACGACAAGCGTTCAGGCTTCGGCGTGAGCGAGCGCTCCAGCGGCCTCCGCTACGAGGGCGAGTGGCTGGACAATCTGCGCCATGGCTACGGCTGCACCACGCTGCCCGACGGCCACCGCGAGGAAGGCAAGTACCGCCACAACGTGCTGGTCAAGGACACGAGGCGCCGCATGCTGCAGCTCAAGAGCAACAAGGTCCGGCAGAAGGTGGAGCACAGCGTGGAGGGCGCCCAGCGCGCGGCTGCCATCGCGCGCCAGAAGGCCGAGATCGCCGCCTCCAGGTAGGACCGCTGGCACAGAGGAGGGGATGGCTTCGTCCGGAAGGGGGCTTGGACCAGGGCACCTGAAGCGACCCTGGGCCTAGGTCTGTTTCTGCTGCCTTTTACCATCAAAGATTCCCTTCTGACCTTTAGGAACTTGACTTGAGGAACTTCTGAAATGAATGTCATTTATTACCCCATTGGTTTAAACATCCATTCACTCATCCATGCGCTTTCCCAGCCACCCAGCCACCCATCCACTTACCCACTCACCCACCCATCCATCCATCCATCCATCCATCCATCCATCCATCCATCCATCCATCCACTTTCTCATCCACCAGTTTGCCCATCCATCCATATATGTGTGTGTGCATATATATATATATATAACTTATTGAAAGGAGAGAGGGGGAGAGACAGAGGTCTTCCATTGCTGATTCCCTCTCCAAATGGCCACAATGGCCAGAGCAGAGCTGATCCATAGCCGGGAGCCAGGAGCGTCTTCCAGGTCTCCCACATGGGGTGCAGGGTCCCAAGGCTTTCCCAGACCATAGCAGAAGCAGGATTGGACATACAGCAGCCAGGGCTTGAACTGGTGTCCATTTGGGATGCTGGTGCTGCAGGTAGAGGCTTATCCTACTATGCCATGGTGCTGGCCCATTCCATCCACCTTTCTTCTAATATTCACCTGAAAACCATTTTTCCATCTGTAATCCATATCTACTCCTCATCTGTTCCTCTGCCTTCTGTAATAACCCATTTGCCCATCCACCTAATCCCATCAATCATCTAATTTGTTTTAAAGCTTTATTTATTTTTATTGGAAAGGCAGATATAAAGAAAGGAGAGACACAGAGAAAGATCCTTTGCTGGCTCATTCCCTAAGTGGCCGCAACTGCTGGGGCTGAGCCAATCTGCAGCTGGGAGCCAAGAGCTTCCTTCAGGTCTCCCACATGGGTGCAAAGTTGCCCAAGGCTTTGGGTCATCCTCTATTGGTTTCCCAGGCCACAAGCAGGGAGCTGAAGGGGAAGTGGAGCAGTCGGGCCACAAACCAGCACCCATATGGGATGCTGGCACTTGCAAGGCAAGGATTCAGTCACTAGGCTACCATGCTGCGCTCCACCAAATTATTATTTTTTCTTTTTTTTCTTTCTTCCTATATCTGGGGTAAGTGGGGGAGATAAAGGGAGAAGCACTACCCAGCCTACCAACCATTCCAGGGTCCCCGATGTGGGGCATGCTCCGAGGGCACTGCTCACGTGGTTTTGAGAGTTCAGCAGTTCTGAATTGTTGCCAATCTCACCATTCCAAGCACGATGAAATCTTTCCAGCATCCACTGGTATTTTTAAATACCCACATGAATAGCCACCCATCCACTCAGCCATTTCAAACTTTCTTTTAGGTGCCCACTCATCCATCACCCATCCATCTAACTACACAGACAGCCATTCAACTATCTGTTCTATCTACCAGTCACTGGCATTCACTCAATTGCCTAGCCACCAGTCCTAACATCCAATTACATATCCACGCATCCAGCCATTGTCCCTCACCTCAACTACACTTTCATCCATGGAACAACATCATTCCCCCGCATCTAATCCTCCAGCTACCCCCATCACTCTTTTATCAACCACCTCCATGGCCCATCCACACTTGCAACAGCCATCACATTTCCATTTACTCAGCCAGCTTTACCCACCATCCTCATCCACCCATCCTTCCATCCACCAAGTGCTAACTCTGTCCTCTCCGTATCTTCTCTTTGTACTTAAGATAACATTGTCTCCTTTGTAGTATGTGGTATGTGTACGACAGTTTTAAGTGGTTTATAAATATCGACATATGTTTCTCTCTGAAAACCCTTGTAAGATATTCTATTTATATGTCCATTTTCCATTTTATTGAGCTGGACAAGACAAGGTGAATTGTTCAGATTTACCCATTAGTGGGTGGCCTTTCACAGTCTGTGCAGCCTCACCTTGTGGCACTCTTGCCCTGGGCCTGGGTCTTTTTCCTCCGTGGTAGGTACTCTGGCCGGGGTCACCCTTCTTGAGATGCTCTTGCCAAATGCCTTTTGTGCTGACTTACCTGCCGTACGGCTCCTCTTCCACCTGCTGTCCATGTGATCCCACCCCTCTCCCAGCTCAGGTCAAGCCGAAGTCCCTTAGAGGGCCGAGAAAGTCCAAGCCCCATGCAGACACTCCCTTGGCCTTACGGGTCTGACCTCAGAACACGGTGGTTGTGACTCCACATCGCTTGCATTGTTTGTGGACAACCCACCATTCACTAGAGGGCTGCCTAAGTGCCAGCTGCAGCCCTGAGACCTTACATGTACTTGTTCATTTCATCTTTCTGAAGTCTGGTCGAGGTAAGTACTATATTCCTGTTTCACAAATTGGGAGTGAGCAGCAAGGACAGCCGTGGCTGTGGCAGGGCAGAGGTGAAAGGCACCACTGGTGCTATGAATGGCCTGGGCTGTGGTGCATGGCCTTTAGAATGTAGCAGACCCAGGACCAAATCTACCTCTGCGGTCTTGGAGCTCAGTGATGGGGCCAGATCCCTTGGCCTGTGAGTCTCAGTTTTCTCCTCTGTGATGCCACCATTTCTTTGTTGTGTGTCTTTGCTGGCTTGAGAGGTCCCATCTGTAATCCTGAGGGTTGGGGCAGTTGGGGCCAGGAGGGAGAAATTGCTCAGGCTTGGGGATACAATCACAGTGTTCACCACAGACAAATGACGAGTCCTGGCCATCCTTGACTGAATGTATTTGACACATATGGATACTGAGAGCAGAGGGAGAATGAAATATGCCCAATGCTACTGGCAAGTAAGTTGGAGGGCTGGAGCCTTGGGCTTTTATTTTCTAATGCAAAAGGCTTAACTAGCATGTTCTGCTCTCTGTAACCAATCACATCGTTGTGATTGTGTGATAGCATCACTAAGGGCAGAAGGTTGATGGCTTCTTGGCTTGGAGATGCTATGGTTTGACTGGCACCTTAGGAGCTCATGCCGAATGCACCCACCGTGTGATGGGATGAAGGGGTGAATGGGCCATGAGGGCTCTGGGTGGAGTTCTTGCTATTACAGAAGTGTGAGTTCAACTCCCCTGTGCACCTTGACCACCCCCCTCCCCCGCCTTTCTCCTCTGAAGGCCACAGCTTGCAAGGTACCATCTTGGGAGATAAGAACGGCCCCACCTAACTCCAAACCTGCTGTTACCTTGGTCTTCCCAGACTATGGAACTGCAAGTTAATGCATTTCTGTGTTGGTCACACAGTACCCAGCCACAAGTATTTTGTTATAAAAGCACAAAGGGGCCAGGAGAGAGCAGACCTGGGTGTATGACCAGGTGATCACATCATTCTGTCTAAACCTGGCTACTTTTAGGTGGGGACACCTGCAAAATTGGGGACTCACTGCTGGTGCCACCAGCTGGTGATCACTTGTTCAGGGTAGTGTCTACTCAGTCCTCAGATATAGTGTAAAGGCATTTTGTTCTTTGGAATGCAGATGTTAAATTCAGCCCACCAAGAGGCATAGGGTCTGGGATCAAGCTTCCCCAATTGGGATACCTGCAGGTGTTATTTTGTTATATTGAAGATTTATCCCTTCTCCTGCAGGGAGCATTTTAAATAGCCATGCCACATATGTATGGTTATGACAGGTGTAAGCCAGGGCTAGGCAGAGGTGCCCTGGAACGTGGAGGTGGGGTGGAGGGAGAACTCAAATACATCACACAGAAGACCGAATTGGAACCCTAGCTCCCTGTTGACAAGCTGTGTGGCTTGCTCAACTCACTCCACCTCTCTGAACCTTGGCCCCTCTCCCTCGCAGGGGAAAGCCATGGGTTGAGGCCTGTGAAAGGCTTGGCACAGGCTGGCAATGAACACGGTCATTGCCATCACCCAGCAGCTGGGTTTCAAAGTTGGGAAAGGAAGCATGGGGGCATGGCGTGGGATTCCTCGCCTCATCTGTAGGGGTGCAGTCTCGCCCCTCTCTGTCCTCCATGCCAGTGCCGTTTCCTCAAATGGGCAAGTGCTGAACTCTCAGCTCTCCCCCTCCCCCCTCCCCTTGCCCACCAGAAGGTGACCAGACCCGCGTCCGAGGCTCATGTCTGCAGTGAGAGGTCGGTGCTGTAGTCCCACCTGCCATGCTGCTATGCACGGAGTGGAGGTTGAGTCTCTCCTGTGAGGAAGGAACCCTGTCTGTCCCAGGGGGCTGGCACCATGTGGGTAGGAGGGGCGGCTGCCTGGCTTGGTTTCCAGCTGAGGTGGAGTTTCCAATTAAGGGAATCTCTGGGATGTGTAGAAAAGCGGGACAGCAAGTGTCCCTGCATCCAGCAGTCTTCTGGCGCCCAGACAGGTCTGGGCTCTATCCACTATATCCACTTGGGTGGATGTGGAACTTGTCAGCTCAGAGTCTCTGCTTGGCAGAGTCTTGTAGGAGAAGGGCAAGGGCTAAAACGGCGCCTCCCCTATAGCTGGGCTGTGGATTGGGCAAGAGGCTAGACCTGTGTGACATATGTGCCTGTGGAAACACACACTGGGTTGCATAGACTTGTTATCGGGAGAATGTAAAGGAACCTGTTGATCTTAAAACATTGAATATTTGTTGAATGTGATTACATTTTAGATCAAATGAGTTAATTAAAATACACATGGGAATTTGCTTCACCTGTTTCTTTTTAAAGATTTATTTATTTGTATTTGAAAAGTAGATTTACAGAGAGAAGGAGAGATAGATTGTCCATCTGTGAGTTCATGCCCCCAAATGGCTGCAATGGCCAGAGCTGAGCTGATCTGAAGCCAGGAGCTTCTTCCAAGTCTGCCACACGGGTGCAGGGTCCCAAAGCTTCAGGCTATCCTTTACTGCTTTCCCAGGGCACAAGCAGAGGGCTGGATGGGAAGTAGAGCAGCTTGGAACACGAACTTGTGTCCATATGGGATCCCAGCACAGGCAGGTGCAGGATTAGCCAGTTGACCTATTGTGTGGGCCCCCAGTTTTACCTGTTTCTTTT